AAAGAACCTGGTTCTGTCTTCTTTGCATTTTCCCTTCAGGTGTTAATACACACCGGTAAGATCCCCCTGAGCCTTCTCTTCTCCAGGCTGAATAGTCCCAGCCCTCTCAGCCTTTCTTCATGGAGAGATGCTCCAGTCCCCTCATCATCTTAGTGGCCCTTTGCTAGGCTCTGCAGTATGTCCATGTCTTCCTTGTACTAGGAAGTCCAGAATTGGACACACATTTGGGCAATGTGTTTTCTCATGCAGAAATAAAATCTCCTATTGGTTTGAATTACATCGGCACTTAATGGACTTTGGCTATCTTTTCCTAGGCAGCTCCACCATAACTAAAACGTTCAGAAACTGATTCATCATTCTTTATCTGAAATAAAACCATCAAGTTTAATAGGGGCCCCTTCGAATTTGAAGCAACACAGTAGAAAAAAGAAGAGCATACAGCTTCTAAATAGCTTGAAGAAACACATCCTTACCTCATGTAAGCATATTCTAATAGTGACAGTTTTGTGTAAGCATCTCCTGAGGCATTACAGCATCTGAAGAAACCATCTTAAAAGACAAAGATATCTGCTTCACTTTGACAATGTGCTTACCAGTTTCTGCCTGAAGGAAATTACAGTCACATTAGAGAAAAGATGGTTTTACAAAACAGTGATACACGCATAACAAAAGCGCAACAAAAGGGTTACTAGTCGGAAAGCCTCAGGACTATAGGTAGCAATTAACTGTTGAAACACACACATATCCACCCTTAGGAGTAATCAGAGTCCTGTCCTTTGGCTCAGACACCACAATTTCTTTATCAGCAAAGATAAAAGGAGCAGCACCTCCCATTCAGTCACACTATCAGCCAAAAATAAATCTCAATTTTGCCATATCTTGCTCACGTCAGTAGTCCCATCAGTTTTTCCAAGAGACATGTGGCAAATCCCAGGGTTTAAGGGTAATTTTATTTTTTGCTTCTTTATAGGAAGACTTCCATGACCCAAGCAAGTCACAGAATCATAGCCTGGTTTGGCTTGGAAGGGACCTTTAAAGGTCCTTACAATGAGCAGTGACATCTTCAACTAGGTCGGGTTGCTCAGAGCACCAGCCAACCTGACCTGGAATGTTTACAGGGATGGGGCATCTACCACCTCTCTGGGCAACCTGGTCCAGTGTTTCACCACCCTTATTGTAAGAAAAAAAAAAAAATATCTTCCTTCTATCTAGTCTAGATCTATCGCCTTTTAGTTTAAAGCCATTACCCCTTGTCCTATTGTAATACGCCCTGCTAAAAAGTTTGTCCCCATCTTTCTTATAAGCCCCCTTTAAGTACTGAAAGTCAGTGCTGTATACGCAAAAAACCCACCCAAAAATCTGCCCCTACCATTAACAGGTTATATGCCAAAACAAATGATCAGAACACAGGACCATGATGGCGATACAGCTGAATGTGATCCCAGCTTTGCAACAGGTCTGTTGGATAATCTACTTTTCCATGCCTTTGTTCCTCCTTAAAAGCTAAACACCTCAGTATTTTCTAGCCACATTAAGAAGGTAAAACTTGATTTTTTTGTACAAAGGAGCAGGCCGTCCATAACAGTAGTAGAGATAAGCAAAATCACCTCCCTTCAGTTGTAGCAAGCTATTAGTTCATTGAAGTTGCTAAGCCATCCTGTGCAAATCCTTAAACGCCTGTATTATCAACCCAGCTATCCAGGGCATTCTCCTGACCCAAGCAGAGATTTCTTTCCAAGAACACAGGTCTGAAAGGTAGGGAAATTTTCTTTTTTTTTTTACCAGCTGCTCTGTTACTGTACCAAAATCAGATACATATAGCTAGTACTAATCTATATTCCTCCTTTCTTCTGCCAGTGTTTAAGATCAGGCAGTCACTCCTGAGCAGCTTCCTTTAAGCCAGATGGCAACACTAGTCTTCAGATCCCAGGGCCAGCAAGTCTTCAGACTCGCTCTATGTTGAGACCTTAGAGTGCGAGCCAGGAGAAAACTCAAGCCTGGCCCGACACAGCTTCTTCATCTGTAAAGGACATGGCCTTCAGCTGCAAGAACTCCTCATCTTCAGAAAATGACGGTCCAAACTCGGGCTCCCTGCAGATGCCATCACCACTCTTGGTAGGCAACACAGAATCCTTTCTAAGAAGTGCTGTACAGCCACATGATGTTGGTGAAAGGGTATATCTGATACAGGATGCAGTAAGAACAGACAAAGGAAATCAGCTTGTCCACAGTGCAGGTGTATGCGCAGCTAAGCGTTCCCTCGGGGTTGCTGGAAGCCTGTGCTCAAGCACAAACCAGAATTTACCCTATATCTAGTACAAAGTAGTTATATGCCTTCAAATTAAACCCACAAATTTTTAAGGCATTTGCTTTTAAAGCCTATCTTTAGTGAGTATATTGCTTAGATATTTGTGTGTTAGAAGTTTGAACTTGACAGTTCAGCCTCTTACACACTTCAGGTAACATACCTTTAAAGCTGTCAGCATGAATTCTTTACATTAATACTGTTGCATGCCAGAGCCACTCAGAAGTTTATATATTTAAATATTATTTATGCAGCACGTTCACACACCAAATCGAAACCACCATTTACAATGACAGGTTTCTGTGGCTTTCTTTACTAGCTAACTTGTAGCTTCCAAACCAATCATACCTCCATTTTCCTCCTAAAAGTATAGGTCAGAAGTAAGAGTCAAAGATACACTGCAAAAAACTTTACTTTCTGCAGAATGGATAACACAATGAAACTACTGTAGATATAACCATTACTGTAGTATGTTCTTTAAAAAGTTTACTGTACCACTACACATACACTGGATCAGTATATAATTGAAGATATGATTGTTTGCAGCATTTATTGTGACTGTGTGAGATTTTAAACTTTGCTTAGTAACTGGACAATACTTTTTATTGAATTCATGAACTCTTACCCTGCAGCAAGAGTTAATAATGGAAAGGATTACAAGTATTAATCAACTAGGAACACAAGTACATATTCTACAGGAATAATAAAAATCATAATCTGCTCCCCAGGTTCTTGGATTGAATGAGAAATCTGAAGGTAATCCCATCTAAGTTAAATAGACTTAGGGGAGTAACTACTTACCTGCAAACAGAGCTGTTCAATCCATGTCATTGACAGATAGTTTACAGACATGCACATGGAACAGAATACCCACCTCCACAACCCAGCTGCTGTTCTTAAGAATCATCCTTAAGTCCTGCAAGTCTTTGGGGATTGCTATCCCACATACTTACATAATCACCCATTCCATTTTCTAAGCCATCAGCTAAATCCTAGAATACAGCTTTCAAGAGGGAAAGTTCAGAAGCAAGTGGGGATAGAAACTCTGCAGGATGAAGAGAGATTGTCTAGCTCCAGGCAGGCTTCTGTTTTCTGCCTTTAAAACTGGACTTTCAGACCCCTTCAACTTTAGTGAAGTTCTTTACCAGATGGTTATAAAATTCCACAAAATGGCACAACGTAAATGCAAGATGCTTGTTAGCAAAAGGACTTAAATACAATAAAATGGTGCACTGTATTTCAAGATTGCAATTTAGAGTATAGGATTTTTTTATTTATAAGTATGACCATTTTGTTTAGTGCTGTGGTATGAACTTCTATTTTCTTTCAACTTGTAGTACTCAAATATACACAAGACATCATTATGGAAAACAAAGGTGTCTAAAAAATTAAACCCAAACAATTCTACTTGTACAGCCTCAACAGATAGCACTTTCAGTACCTTTAACAGGAAGCCTGTAACCTTACAAGCCTTCTTTCATTTCTCTTTCATTTGGTAATTTCCCCACTAAAGACCGTTCATCCAGCCTGGCCAGCTTTGGTCCCAGTGAATCTGTAGTTTTATCTGAATACCTCATCAGCCAGTTCCAGCCAAAGCCTACTTTACCACCGCCAGCTTGTTTCTGAATTGAAAATTCTGGACAAGACACTCAATTAGCCTCATATGTGCCTATAACACTTAGCCAAGACTAATCTAATCAGACACTAAAGCCCCAAGCTATCAGTTTTATATTCCTGACATCTCCATCAGGAAGAATATTAGGCTAAGAAACAGGAACTAAACACTTCCTGCAAAAGTTAATTTTTTATTTTTTTAATTTTAGGAGAATGTTGTTTTCAACATTCTGTTTTAGAGTAATTGCAGAGTTAAAAAAAAATGTTGTGCAGTTCCTCTTGTCTTTGTTCTCACTATCATTCATATTATTTTGTTTGGAAAAATATAAGATTTCAGATAACTTAAAACATTTGAGACCTTATCACCCTCTGTAATTTCCTGAAAGGAGGTTGTAGAGAGGTGGGTGTCAGTCTCTTCTCCTAAGTAACAAGGAATAGGACAACAGAAAGTGACCTCAAGTTGCACCAGGGGAGGTTTAGATTGGATATTAAGAAAAATTTTTTCACTGAAAGGGTTGTCAAGTGTTGGAACAGGCTGCCCAGGGAAGGCCCACGTGGAATCACTATCCCCGTACATTTATTATTTAAAAGACATATAGACATGGTGCTTAGGGATATGGTTTAGTGGTGGACTTGACAGTGTTAGGTTGATGGCTGGACTCAATCTTAAATGTCTTTTCCAACCTAAATGGTTCTATGAGAAAATACAAGAAAGGCAGCCTCCCATCACAGTGGTACGTGATCAGCAAGTGAGAGAAACTTTCACACGTTTAACTTGGCCACCTCGATCATGACTGCAACTATGGCTGCTATGAAGACATGTACCCACATTTCAGTATTCTGCAGATCTGAACAAAAAGAAAAACATTTTTGTTTACTGTAGTTGACAAAACGTCTTTTAAGCTCTTGAAATAAACATCATGGCAGAGTGTTGTTGTCACCTTAGAAAGAAGTCATATTTGTGATCCAGTTTCTTTGTACAAGACAGATTAAGCTATTTCTGTTTCATTGAAACTGCAATAAACACAAACATAAGGCATATGTTTCTCTTACATTGAAAATATGGAAACTGGCACTGTACCTTACTGTCCTCATCTTCAAACACAGACTGGTGAACATTACAAGCAAAGAGAGAATTTGGGAGATCGTTGAAGTCAATTATTTCATGAAAATCTTCCTCTGCAAAACACCTCTTTAAATCGTTGTCTCCATTTATAGAGTAAAGTAAGAACTGTCCTCCGTCTTCCGGGAAGCAGCCATAGTGACCAAGGCCTCGCATTCCAAAGAAGTATGAGTCTTCCCTCATTCCTGGCAGCACAGAGAAGAGAGACACAGTTATACTACACTTTCAAAAACATCAACATACACAAGTTAACTCAGAAATTCTTAGTTTGGGGGCTTAGTTTGTAGAATGTATATTTCACACTATTTTAAGGCAACAATTGACATCTGAAACAGGGCACCACGACTTTGCTTTAGTTTTATTTGTTTGCAGAGAGAAGACCTAACCATATCAGCACAAGCTGCTGAACACAACCAGAAGCAAGGCATTATTTAAGTGCCTCGTGCCCTAAAAGAAAATACCGTGTTGTATTTGGGTTTGAGAGCCATGTTTGTTACTGGTAAGGCAGGCTGGTGCTTCTGAGCTTGCAGTCAGATTCAAGAGAAAGCGTAATGCACTAGGCAAGAAAAAAAACATGAAAATAATTTTGAAAATTATACCAGGCATCAACTTAAAGGAAAAGCAAAAAAAAAAGAAAAAAGAAAGTTCCTGTTGAAATATAGCATGAACACCAAATCACTGAAAAACCAATACAACTAAGACACATCACTACTACAAAGAATAAAGCCAATTTTTTCTACAGTTTAAGGACAGAACATACACTGTTTCTCCATGCCCATTAGCAATTTCTTTCTTTGCATCTTAACCACATTAGGAAGCAAATAAAAAAAGCTAAGGGAAGAATGGACTCAAGAGGTGAACCTCACCACCTTTTAGGAAAATCCTGCTGACTTTGAAGCCTTTACCCCAAATCCATCAGAATAGAAAGATACTTTTAAGACACACAGAAGTAACAAGCCAATACATCAAAACAGTATCCCTACTGTTGATACAAGAGTAAGCTTCATACCAGCCAAGAGGAGTAAGTAGAGGTCCAATTAATTATCAGTGTGTTAATATAAATTCAGGTATTTATCAGTCCTTCGTACAGGTGTATTACACATCAACCTCTACAGAGGTCCAGGAAGCTGACTAGAAGCTATGCAGAGAAATAATTAATTTCCTTACATTTTTGTTTCTTTCAATAACAATACGCAATCATTGGCTGCTTTCTCCTCATAACATAAGGAGAGAGTTACATAAATACAGCGTGCTCATCTGTTTCAGATTTGCCCTTGCTCTATTGTGTACTTGCTATTCTCTATAAATAGTTGTAAATATTAGTTCAAATACACCATTTAGGACTAGTGTCCAAAATTAAACCCTATGGGCTTATTACACTTAACCTCAGTAAAGCAAAGTTGAATTATGGAGATAATTTGCCATGCTGGTGCCTTTCATATAACCTTGTTTCTGCTGGTGCTCTGAAATGACGTCTGGCTGATGACAGAGCACATCGTGCCGTAACCTTATGTTACGGAAATGTCAGTAATTGTTACTGCTGAAGACTCGGGGCTAACGACAGAAGTCAACAAAAAAAACAAGTTTAAGTCATGCTCAAAAGTATTATATTGGAGCACTGAGTCCACATTTATCACTCTGAAATCATATGATAGAGACAGACTTATTAGCCAGCGTTAGTCAGGACAACTAAGGTTGGAAAGGGCCTGCAGAAGTCATCCAGTCCAAACCACAAGGTCAGACCAAGACAATTCAGGACCTTGTCCAGAGGTAAATGTTGTACAGCAATACCACTCATAGTGCATATAATGATCTGCAGAGAGCTGGTAGGTCACGGGATCTTAACTGTCCTCCTTTTCCAGGTACTAAAATACGTTACACAGCTAAAAACAGAATAGTTTCCTAGTCCTGTACTCTATGCATGTAATTTGTGAGGGAGGGGTTTAAAACAAACAAGGATGTAGTGCTGTAAGGAAACAGGTGTAGTATGAAAGCCTCAGGCCAATTACTTTTTTACTGTGTCAACCTGAGGACAGGTTTTTAGACCATCAAATACACACTAGTATTCTTGCCAACTCAGTCTGATATTAGCACAGCTATCTCCAACTAATTTCAGTTTAGGAATTTAATTCTAACTGAAAAAAAGCCTGAACAAATGACAGAGGAGCGGCTACAACTCCAACAGTATACATTAGTGTAGTAGGAACTCATTATCACAGCAATATTGCCTCTGATATTTGAACCAACTCACTTAAGACTAGTATTACTGTACATTTCAGCGTAAACATTCCCAGGTAAGTACTATAAAGAAATGCTAATAGCAGTGAACACTGGGGAAGAAACTTAAATTCAGAATGTATCACCACTCTAGCAGAAAATATTAATAGATCATCTACTCCAAATACAATCAGCTCTAAATGTGTTTGCCGTTATGTCTAGCCTGTGTCAGGATAAGATTCATTGCTTTTTGGTTTATGAAAATAAACCTCAAGCCCAGTATGTTACAAAATATAATTTACATGGCAGAGCAGACTTTTGCCAGTGAGTATGAATATTTCATTCACAACAGGCAAAGTACTTGCAGTGAAGATACTGACTATTTTACAGCCACACTGGGTAAAACCCTTCTTCCCCCACAAGCCTGAAGCTGGAAGAGTCCACTCAGCAGAGAGGGATGTTTCAAAGCCAGCTTTACACAACAGACTCAAGAGGATAAAGATGACACAAGCTGATACCCTAAAGTTGTAGGAATTCGGATTATGAATTAGCGCTCAATAAGCATTCTAGCGAGAAGAGGGGAGATTAAATGGAACTGTGTAGTGAAGTTTAAGATCTACAAGAATGCTGTAGGATATAATGAAACAGGAATCTGCTGGTTGAATAGAACTTGGAGTCAAAGTAGAGCAAGAGAGGCAATACAGTACACTGGTTTGTTTTCTATACACATCCCTATTTATATTAGATGATCTCTTAAACTGTACTTTTTAGACTAACAAACAAGCTTCACTTTCACTGGAAAGTATGATAGTAATGTTCAAGATAACTTCAGGGCAACTAACAGATTTCATACATTCTGTTTCTCAATGCATAACAAAGCTATTAGAGCATGAAAAGAAGTAAAGAATCTCAATATAGACAGAAGTCTGAAAAGTCTAGTTTTCTTCGCTAAACTCTTAATTATTTTTTTTCTCCTGGTAGTGCCATATTATAAGGTACTAGATAGGAAAGGAAGCTTTTAAAGTTAAGCATTAAGGAAAACCACTATGACAAGCAATAAAACAGAACAGGATTTTAAGTTACAATGATCAATTTCAGATTTTTAACTATCTTGGTTGGCAATAAGGAAATGAGCATACACTATAGCAGGCAATTGTACAATATATTGGCTTCAAAATTCCATCCGAGATTAGAAATTAATAAATACTTTTACATTATGGGGCAGTAGTTTTGCTCTCCTAGAGCTCTTTAACAAGAAAAGCTTGCTTCTTTTTTCAGTCAATTCTTGAGACAGATTGCTCAGTGAGACTCTGGTATTGGCCAAGTCTTCTTAAGAAGGTCACTGTCTTATGGGCCTTTTGACCATTTCTTTTTCAAGACTTGTAGGTAGATGCACATGCCTCTTCTATATTTAAGATATACCCAGAATTCTGGTAAGTGTTCCCTCCACTAGCAAGTAAAATTACAATGCCCTAATTATCAATTCCCCTGCCCAATTTAAGATGGCACCTGCATAGTTAAGAACATATGTATGGAAAAAACTATTGTTTGACAAGTTTTACTTTGCTATGCAAGGGCCATGCACTGCACGACATCAAGCACAGCACCACAATTAAAATAGAAATCTCACTAATAAAAGACACACACGTTCCTCAAGAGAACTGAAACTGCCTATGAGCCTGAGCTCAATGATTATCAGAGCGGACAAACATACTTGAATCAACAACATTTGTTAGCACACTTCAAACCCATGGGCTGTAAGTTCGGACTCTGACCGGACAAACTAGCACTTCTGCCAAAAGATGCAACATAATCTGCCACGCACCTCAGGCTTCTCGCTTCCAACACCAGTCACTTCCTACAGAGACAGGCCCCACGCTACCTTTTGTAGTGGAGAAAGCATCTCCTGCTCAGATTCATGGCACAACGGCACAAACTGTTTGAGTTAAAGGAAAAGACCAGGCCTAAGGAAAACAGTCTGAGTCCGTTCGGTAGATAACTGACCTGATGATACACTTCATGGCTGCATAAATATTTGTAGAAACCAGAAAAAGTGATGGCCAAGTTTGAGAATGGGCAGGTGACAGCAAAAGTTAGGATTGAACTTTTCAGCAACTAACCTACTTACAGCATTCATGAAATTATAATTTCAGTTTTCACAGCTCTGCATGAACTTCATAATAAGTCACCATATCAGAAGTTAACTTCAGCCAGTCATGAGCTAGAAATCCTACCTTGTTCTGTATTATTAATAATGTTACAGACATACAGAAAACAAATCATAACTACATATCCTTTATTATGTCTATCAAACACCTTAAGGCTCAGGTGTTTTGGTAGTGTTTTGTGGCTGCTTTGAATTTACTTGGCACTTCAGGCAGTCCTCTGTCAAAAAATATTCTCTTTCCAATTACTCATTTAGAACAAAAGAATTTTCATTTCAAATCCCTCAAAAACAATTAATTCTAAATCATGTGTCATCCATGAACTGGATTGCCATATAAAATAGATCCAATTAAAAGTCATCTTTTATGTAACTATACTACAATCACTGGATCATATTCCCATTTATATTAAAGCTCCTTTCCACAGCTTCTGACAAAACAGGTTAACTTCCCACGTCTTACAGTCCCTTTTATATTATAAAAAAAAAAAACATAGAAAGGCATCCATAAGAGTAAACCACATTCATCTTAATTTTAAGATGCAATGAGTTCAATGTAATGACTTACACATTTGCTTCTCTCTTCCCAAATCAGGAATTTTTTCAAATACTTACGATACCAGAAGTTGTCATATGGAATTTCAAAGTGGCAACACCATTAAAAAAAATATTACAGTAACATCAAGGCATCATCCAGCACAAATATTGATGCTAAATTCATTCACCAAGATCTTAACTGGGACCACACTAGTAAAGTCTGTAGCAGGATTGTTCCCTTTAGAAGACTGAGATACTGAAACAT